CCCCCCCCCCCACTGACGAATTCTTAAAAAATGCCCTGTGCAAAAAGGGTTGTCAAACAAAAAGATGCTCATGTTTTAAGGCAAATTTGAAGTGCACTGAACTTTGCAAATGCACTAACACTATTAGCTATGCACTTGGAATAATTTTATACAAAAATTTACACAAGCAATTGTGAGAACAGTGAGATAGATCTAATTGACAATAACTTTATAGATGAAGGCAGTGGATTGTGATGATGATGAAACCTAATGTGCTATAAATTACTATATTAGTATTAATTATAGTATTGTTTAAATATGTATTTTATATAATTACTATTAGGTATTTGATAGTTTTTGGCTTACCATACAAATATATCAATTGGCCTACTACAAATTTTATATGTCCATTACTCTGTCTTCAAAATATAAAATTAAGTTTGTTTCGTCCTTTATTACACGCCATAAAGATGAAATAGTGTACACATGAGTTCATAATCTTGAAAGATATGAAACTTGAAAATCGTGTAGCTCATTGTTTACCTCAAATCTGATTTCACATATCTCAAGAGGAGGCGGAAGTGACCTATCCTGTATAATTTTCACTATGGCGCGCGAGTGACTGGTTCCGAGAGTACGCATTTTGACGTATGGCATATAATAAAAATGCTGTTGCGAAACTCGTAAATTTTAAGATTTTGATCGCAATTTACAAAAAAACTGCAGGGTGAACCCGCAAGAACTTTTTAGATTTGGATTCAGCGTCACTTAATCTATAAGAATATGTAATTGTCTTTTAGTTTAAAGAGGTGTGCAACGAAACTAAACATTTTGGGGCACTAGACGACGGCCTAAACATCAGTCGATAAATAAAATGGTACATTAATATGGACAAAGTGGAACAAAACCTTTGAAAACAACAGTTGTAGTTCCAATTATTTTGGGAGATTTAGTAGCAAATATAATCCCTAAATAGCTTATCGATTTGTATATGTTAGCGCTAAAGTCAAACGGCTGGGTCGTAGATCACGTTGAATAATGATCTAAAGTTATCATGCGACCGACAACAATGTCTCAAAATACCGGCTGTTTGATGATTTTTTTTACAAATATATATACCGAGATTTCTGGACCACTTTTAAACTTAGCAAGGCGAAAAGTCTCCTTTCAAGAATACGTTTTTTCTCAAAAGGCAAAATACTTAGAATACTTGATTAAATTGTTTACTTCGACGGTGTATAAATTAACAGCGTTAGCTTGCAAGACGTCAAAAACGGAAGATTTCAACGCGCTGTCGTTTATCGCGTATTCATTTGCCAAAAGAAATATTTACGTCAATTGAAAGCTTGTTTATTAAAGAGCCAACTAGTAGAAGCATGATCGATTTTTGTTAAGAGGGTATCGTAAATGAAGTAAGATAGTGTGCTCCAAAACTACGATTATTTCTATTTCTAAAAGTAACTCAGATTTCCTGTAAGTCATGTACACAGTCCTTTGGATAACCGAAAACAAGATTTTTAGGGTTTTAGATCGATTAGAAATGGTTGTCGTCGTGAATTTTGTCTGTAAAATCAGCGCATATTTTCCCAGACAAAATGGCGATTTAGGGTGGTCGTGTTAGTAAAACGGGATTTTCTCAAAGTTAAAAAAGCATTTGACCTAAAAACATATCTGGTGCATTTTCCGATATAATAAGGTATATCTGGGCAAAATTTGAGCAAAATCCATTTTTCAGTCGTGGCCACCTTATGTTTGATTTTCGTGGACATCCTCTCTTAATTCTTTTTCTCTATCCAATCTATAGTTGGGAATCACAAATTATTGAGCCGTACACTCCGTTTTAAAAAATGTGTTGATTTGTTTTTAATTTTAAAGGCAGCACTTAAGAAGGAGGACATCAACATTCTTATCCTTGGCGAGACTGGTGTAGGCAAGTCGACTTGGATTAATGGCATTGCCAATTATGCGAAGCATGGCTCCCTCCAAGATGCCATGGATGCTCCTGAGTTCACTGTTTTGATCCCATCCAGGTACAAACAGTTTTCGAACCTTTCATGTTTTTGACATGTACATAACGAATGCTAAGTGCCATGAAGGGAATCGTGATTTTTTTCATCTTCCACATGTCTAGTTTTAAAACACACCCGATATATTAATTTTAAAAAAACCAACTAAAATCTGTGAAAAAAGAGGAATGCTTTTTAACACCTCTTTGTGTCACTCTCCAAATGCAGGAACTAAGATCTTAATTAAAAATACCGCTGATTAAAACTTAACAATTGTTGTTGTATTTAATACGAAATTATTTACACAAGCATTACTGACGTCCGTACATAATGAAAGTGTCAAGAATACCAAAGAATCAGACAGAATTTGCAAATTATAAAAAGGTTGGGGCACCCACATACACATAAACGAATACACATAGACATTTTCAGAAGTTCTGGTAGGGCAATTTTGTTGCATCATCATAAAAAGTTGTTATTAAATATAGCAGTTTAATAAGATAACGGTAACATTTTGAAACTTTCTTTATCTTAGATTTGTTTTTACAAATGAAGAAGGTGAAGGGATTGACATTGCATTTGGAACTGATTCAAATGAAGTTCTAAGTGGTGGCCAATCTGCTACCCAGTTCCCCCAAGAGTACATGATTGAAACCAACACAACAAGGTTCCACCTTATTGACACTCCAGGAATTGGGGACTGCCGGGGTATTGAAAAAGACAAAGAAAATTTTGAAAACATCTTGGCCTTTCTTACCTGTTATGACAAGATTAACGCTGTTGTTGTCCTTCTCAAGCCAAACAACGCTAGATTGACTGTGGCTTTCAAGTTTTGTGTGTTAGAGTTGTTAACACACCTCCACAAATCTCTGGTGTCCAACATCATCATTGCCTTTACGAATTCCCGTGGAACCTTCTATAGACCAGGAGACAGCCTCCCAGTTCTTAAAAACCTGCTCCAGAGTCATAGTATTGAAATCGATGTATCTCCATCAAATTATTTTTGCTTTGACAACGAAGCTTTTAGGTATTAAGATTAATAATATATCTCCAACTCATTAACAAATCATGAGTAAATTTGCCAAACATATTGCTTTATTTTGCTCACATGATAATATTATATACCAGATGAAGTCCATTGATTCAGTCTTAGGACTGGATTGAAATTAATTTAGTCCTTAAACTGGATCAACATGAATTAAGTAGTGATTTATTTGTAGGAGATGTCCTTTTAAATCCTCCAATTCGGAGTGGATTAGATTTCAAGTCCTCGCATTTTGATCCAGTCCTCGGCTTTCCCTCTGACGTGATCAAATTGCGCCGACGTGAAATCTAATGCAGTCCTCACAGTCGGATTTGAAATATTACATAGAGCAGGGGATGGCGTCTGGTGTTCCTTGCACCCTCCATCAAGCCATTGTGTTAAATGTCATTTTTATGTTAAATTTAAATTTAATTGCGGATTCTTAATGGTAATAATTATAATTTCTTGGGTTGGAGATGGAAAGTATTTATGTCCCTATAAAAGCTGAAGGACTTCTCTTTGAGTGCACCAAATTTGGCAAGAAGACTAATAATCCATACGTTGATGCTGATGTTTTTGTTTTATTATCACATTTACAGGTTCCTTGCTTGCCATAAAAGTGGAATCAAGTTCACGTTTGAAGAAATTGACCTCTACTCAAAGAGTTGGATTAAGTCGTGTGATACAACTTGCCAAATGTTTGACCTCATTAAGAAAAAGAAGCCCCATGAGACAAAGAAGACCGTGAGTCTAAACGAAGCAAGAAACTGCATAATCGCCATGAGCAAACCAATGGGTCAAGCTGTTCAATTGATTGAGATGAATTTGAAAAAGATTAAAGACGCCAAAGACCAATGCAAGATCTATGATGCTGACATCAAGTCCTTCCAAGCCGACCTTAAATTCAAAGGGTATGAGTTGTGCGTAAATCAACTCGACTATCCCATGACGGTATGTGCAGACACACAGTGCAAGAGGTACGTGCGCATTGGGACGTCAGGAGAACAAAATACGATTTATGAACAGATCTGCCATAATGGCTGTGGTATTTCAGGAGTTCCGTTAGAGGTTACCAACAACGAACAGCTTCGTGGTTGTGCTGCTATGGACAATAATGGAACTTGCAAGCATTGTCGACACGATTACAGAGTTCACATGCATATGACCTACACTGCTTCTGTTGTAGAGAAGGAATTCTTGTCAGAAGATGCAAAGGCCAACATCCAAAAGAAGTCCGACTTAAAGTCTCAGAAAAGGATCTTCATGGAGGAAATGGAGAAAAGCATCAAGGAGTATGAAGATGAAAAGAAATTCATTTTTGAATGTGCTAGCTTCTTCGGTGCTTTTCTCAAGCAAAATGCCATGATCGCTTACAATGATTCCTTCAACGAGTACCTCGACATGCTGATCAAAGACGAGCAGGCTAAGGAGAAAGAAATCAGAGACGACCAGAAGATCGAACAGATGAAACAAGATAAGAAAACATACAACGCAAACAAAGATATTATCTTGGATAGCATCGCAACCGAAAACAAAGATGAAATTCTTCCTATAGAAAGGATTTATGAAATGAGGCAGAAGCTTTGCTCCTTGAAACACAATGGGAAGTCTCTTAAAGAAGCTTTAGGTATTGTGCGTATACATACAAATATAAAAATTTGTTTCAGTCGCAAGTATAGTAGACGACTAATCAAGTCTTATAGAGTTTTCTTTTCAAAATCGAATCCAATCTGTATCAACTGCGAAGTCACGAATTGCATGAATATCATATAAGTCATTAATTTCTATTAATTAATGAAAGTTGTACCAAACAAATGCCTCTATTATGAGGACACGACCTAAATTGGCACAAAAAACAACGAACCTGTGTTAAACTTCTATATTTTGATAATTTTTACAATCTTTTGTGCTTGGATTGCCCCCGTACAGACATAACGTTGGTCACTATACTAACTATTTATGGCAATTGCGGTTCATAGTTTATTTGTAAATTTGACTAGTAGGTTACGAAACAGTCACTCGTTGATATTTTTCTGCACAAACATGCAATAATTTCTTAAATTTGCTACTTATAAAAAACTAAACTATGGTCTTTAAGAACCTGATTTACCAAGTATTTTTCATTTTCGTTATTCATGTTAAAGTTGAAATATACGCACGGGGTAATATCAGAAATTTTGCTGGAAATTTATATACTTAAAAGTACTAATTTTTCATAAAAAACATTAATTTGCATAGATGGCGTCATCTCAGCAAGGCAAAGAAAACACAAAGTAGAAAGGTAAGACTTGTTCCAAAACATTCGAAAAGGATATAAATCAATTCTACCCGGATCTGCTGTTCGACTATCGGTGCGATAGTTTAGTTTCACCTGTTGTCTCGAGCAGTTATTAGACTGTGTCACATACGTGGCTGCGTTAAAATGCTCGAGGCAAGAAACTCGCACCCCGCACTCCGGCCAAAAAATCGTAGGAAATATCTCCAAGAATGCTACAAGATCTCAAAGTCGCAAAAAAGGTCCCATGCAAACCTTACAAAATTCCCAAAAATCTCTTCATATCAAGAAAAAATCTTAGTATAAATACACAAAACTCTGCGAAAGTCCTTAAAATTAGCAAAGTTGCCTGAAAATTCTTAAAATTTTTAAAAGTCCATGAGAAAATTCATTAACTCTAACGGTGATACACCTTACCACGAAAGTTACTATTTTCAGGCTGGTGTGAACGCCTGAGCAAGCGTCTTATTTAATTTAGAACAAAAATTTTTAGAACCACTGAGTATTTTAATAAAATACAAAACAAGTGAAACTCCAAAAATCGATAACATTTTTATTTATCTACGTTTCGACTATATTTCAGTCATCATCAGGATAAACTAGCTAGGTTATATATCAAAAGCGGTATTTATATGAAGAAATATGATACAATAGTTCGGTTGATTATTAACGAATTAATGAAATATGATTAGTTCTTTAGAAGCTTTAAGTCCATGATTAAGTTCAGGCTTATATCTTTGAATAGCGAGGGATTCTTGATATAGTAAAAAGGACCAATGGTTAGATTTATCAATTATTTTAGTGTTGTTGAAAACATGTTCAGCCATTATACTGGTTTGATCAGACTTTGCGTTATCGTCGGGATAAAGTTCTAAAAGGGCTTTAATATAAAGTTTGTTCGTTCACTGCAACCAGGTATATCAATCATGTTTCGCTCGCTACTCTGGTTTAAATAAATGATTACGAAGCCCAGTCGAATTGTAATCAAGACCCAGGCTTTAATATGTTGAAACTGTTCACAAGTAGAGAGGTGTTGATGGATTACAGATTCTGTGTGATGTGAATGTTCCTTAGTTCTGGTGTATAAGCAGCGATCATTTTTGCCGATGTACCAACTATTACATCCAGGGCAAGTAAATTCATAAACTACAGAGCTTTGATAAGTTTTTGGGGTTTTATCTTTGCATGACACAAATACGTTGCTGTAATGGTTTTCCAGTTAATAATGAATCGGCATTTTAATATGAGGAGAGGGGTTATTTTTGCGTATCAACGAACGAGTTAGTCTTTCACCAAATTTGCCAAGATAGGGTAGCTGTAACCAGATATTAGGAATTTTGTTTGATTCAGTCATTGTGGCTTCGTTGTCGTTGTCATTAGATACTGGTGATGGTTTAAATTGGTTAATAAGAACTAATAAGAACTAATCATATTTCATTAATTCGTTAATAATCAACCTAACTATTGTATCATATTTCTTCATATAAATACCGCTTTCGATATATAACCTAGCTAGTTTATCATGATGATGACTGAAATATAGTCGAAACGTAGATAAATAAAAATGTTATCGATTTTTGGAGTTTCACTTGTTTTGTAATTTAGAACAAGTCATTTGGATTTCATTTTAGTGGAATTTCAAAGAATTTAGACAATATACCTTGAAGTATACGACTCCGCAGTAATCTAAGCAATATATCTTTTAAAAAATTTTAGTATTCTATTACATGAACCAAACCGTGTTTAGTTTGCTATTGCTGACATATGCACCGAGTAGCTAATAAACGGCGGTACTGGCTCATCACTACATTTTTTATCACATAAAATCATCACTACATTTTTTATCCCACAAAAGGTAAATACTTCGTGTAAGAAAAATTATAGTGTACCCGGGAAAGTATGGGCATGCCCAATCCCACAACCCTTGCGCCACACTGGGAACACCCTACCCACCGGACACCTCTTCCCCAACTCGCGCACGACAACGCACAGCCATACACAAGTCCTCCGCACAGCCTCCGCACAACTTTCTGCACAGCGCTCCCACATTCATGCTTGCTGGAGTCTTCCTGAAGTTTTTACGGAAATCATTTTTCACAGAATCAACATATATCTGGGTAGACATGTATGACAATCAGCCATGTCCATTACCAAAGTTTCAGATTTCACCAAGGATTCATTTACTTTCGAGGACGTTACCGGCGGGAGATCTAAATGCAATAGGATAAGGATACTAACACAGAATCGGGGTCCACTCTTATTAAAGGTTGATAATTGTTTTTCTTACGGAGTAATCGCAGATCACAGGTTTGGTAAGACTAAGTACTCCGTTCCGATAGTGCTGGAGGATAGGGAGTCATTCTTATCCGCCTTGGAGCTTGTAGAGTCTGAGGTTGATAAGTACGCCACGTGAACGATCCACGAGAATAAGGACGTGGCGAGAGGCTCATGTGATGCCTCTACCCTAAGGACTGGCATCCGGTATTGTATGCAAAGATTGATGGTGATACACTGATTTACCCTATCGGAGGCGGTGAACCTGTGGGCCACAAGAGGTACACCGAAGAGGCGTTTTATCTCGATGCGGTCGTTAGGATTGATGGTGTATACGTAACCGAGGACGCAGTCTCCATCCGGGTGACGTTCTATGAGGCACAGGTGTTGGAGTATCATTCCATGAGACTTAGGGAGATGCTTTTGTGAATTTGATTGGATTTTAATACCCTGATATAAGGGTGTCGAAATCTTTATGTCCTATAGGAGTGGACCAGTATAAATAAAGGTATGGATTCTCCTTTTGAATATCCACCCTGGGAACCGAGAAAGAGGAGTAAGAACACGGATTCTTTTGAAATAGCATATAGAGAGTACCTAGATTCTATTAGTCAAGAAAAGCAGGATCCATCACAAGGGCTGTGCTTTGAAGGACGTAGGCATCAGTTTATCAATATAAACGATGAAAGGACGTGTAATGAGTGTGGATTTGTATCTGGTCCGACTCACTATGTTTCTGAGTATGGTTCTTGGGATAGGGCTGCTATGAATGGTCCGAACAAGAGTAGCGTTAGTTTTAAGTTCGATAGTTTTTGTCAGAGGAAGAACATAACGGCTTGTGGTCTGCTCGGAAGAAGAACACGTGAAGTTCTGGAAATCATTGAGGAGGTTTGCGACGCAGAGAAGCTTAGGGGGAAGAGGCTTCCCAATCTCAATATTCTGACTTATCAGGTATGTAGGAGGTTGAATGTGGAGATAGACGAGTCTTTACTTAAGATTCCTAACGGGAAGATTTCCCACGATCGGTGTAAGAAAATATTTCAGACACTAGGTAGAGATAATTTTAATGTTTCCTCAGGCATTAAAATTGAAGTAGTAGCCTTGGGATGATGATGACGAAAAGAACCTCAACTGTTATCGGGATCAATAGGCAGCTGGTCAAGCACAACCACATCAGTTTCCGTGGTATCTTCACCGTTGTGTTTACCGTATCTTTTGACCGTTGCGCTGGCATATCAGATCTGGGTATGTGCGCTCATTGTGATGTTTCCTCATTCAATATCGATACCCAGGTTAAACATTTTTCTCCTTTTATGATTTTTGTTGTGCTTCATTCTGTTTGCGACTTCTGGTTTTGTGGACAAGCATTCCATTTTTATTTAACCGGAAAATAAAATGCCATTCAGCATGGTTATCGTAAGTATGACAGCCTGTGGGAAGGCGCATCACCTCATTCGGGAGCTAAAGACAACGTTTTCCCACCAATTTGAAAATATATTCCTGATTTGTCCTACCTATCACTGGAATAGGACCTATGATCAGGATTTCATTCATGAGGACGACAATTTCTTTGTTATTCCCTGCCGGCAGGATGACGTGGAGGATTACCTTAAATTTGTAGTGGACTTCACCAAGGGAAGGGAATCCCTCATCATCTTGGATAACTGTGCCAGCACTAAGTCTGTAAAGGACCGTACGGGGGAGTTGATTGATCTTGGATTTAGTGCACAACATATGAGTATTTCCACCATTGGTATTACCCAACAGCTGACCTCCATTGCTAAACCGTACAGACAAAATATTTCGAAATTAGTAACATTCTATAACCCAAATAGGCAGGACATGAAGATTATCCTGGATGAATACCTTCTTGTTGACAATGCGGAAATGAGGTCTATTAAGGAGAAGCTGAAGGAGAATCAGTATGCTCATCTTGAAGTGAACTTGGTACATCCGTTTAATCACGAGGTAAACATTCCGGTGTTATAATAAAAAGGATGGAACAGGAACCACCGACCGCAGAAAATACGGAAATTGAGGACAGTAGAGCAGAGCTTATCCGTCTGTCTAATGCAAGGGGAAATCACCCAGTCCGGAAAATACTTCAAGAAGGCGTCCGGAAAAGTCATTATGAAAGTTCGGAAGGACTATATGGTTGCACAAAGGGAAAAGGCAAACGTTGTGCTGACGGAATTCTTGATTGAAAAATTTTCCAACTTTATGGAAACCATCAACATGGTGGATAGTGGTGAGGAGCTGAGGACGGAGTTGAATCAGGATAAACTGTTTAGGAGTGATGTCAAAAGCGTAGTGGCAAAATTGTCCCTATACGTACCTTATTTAGGGATTGTTAGTGGTGGGGCAACAACGGTTAACATGTTTATCGGAGAGCACCTGAACAACCACCTTCTGAGGAGGAAGGACTGGAGACTAATGATCAGGCCTAAAAATTTCCAAACTCTGTTGAGTATGGAAAAACTACGATTCCTAGTTAATCTAGTACTTTGTCCCAGCTAGTTGACCGTTTTCGATCCTCATAACACCATCGGAAAGGACGAACATGTAACATACAACGTTTGCAATTGTAGCTTTCTTCGTGATTTCCACCAGTATTCCGGACTGGGTGTTTTGGATTTTAGCACCGTTTCCGTATGTGTTGACGTCGTTTACGGTTCTGAGATCGATGACCAAGGCGAACTGTTTGTCTTTGAAGAAGTTGGTTAGTGTCTGGTGGCTGATATCGCCAGTACCGAACAGTCGCCTTGCTTCCTCGTATAGCCTTGTATTCGGGATACCTTGGCTATAGACTGCATTGGGAACACCTTCCACGGTTACCTTGACCTTTTCGATATTAGGGTATACATATTCCTCACTATCGGTTTTCGTCTTGTTTGTGAATAACATAACGATGGCTTTCATGCTCCTGCGTGGTATATTGATTGTCTCATTAATGATGGTGGAGTCTTTGTCCTATTCGGATTTCTTCATCAGGGTGGTATGTTCGAAGGATAGCTCTCGTTCGGATCCGTATAGGTTTTCAGCCTTTCTTGCGAGATCGATGTTGTCAATGGACTCATATTCCAGTTCGATGTTCTCCAGGGTGTATCCTTCTACGGATTCTCCTCCTTGTGCACTCATGATTTCGTCTGCTACAGGTAGGGTGATCACATATTGTAGGTCGTTTGCCATGTTGTGTGGGGCGTAAAGCCCGTGGTCTTTAAGGATTTTGTTGATCCGGATCTTCTGTTTTGTCCCGAACACCCCGAGCAGTGCGGTGGCATCAACATCATCGTTTGCGACATCGTCTTTGGACATTTTCTTCCTCGTTGCTCCGGTAGCAATACAGTCCTCCACCATGTCGTCGCGCTGTTTCCTGTGTAACCATAGGTCTTTGTAGACTTCCAATAGGCTTTCTCCACTGTTGTCGTAGACTTTTCCCCGGCGAGGCGGATTTCTAGTGTTTTCTGGAGCAGTTTTCCTAGGTTGTTTCTGAACCAGGACTTTGTATTGCTGTTTTTAAGTCGAAAACCAGAGCCATACTGTCAGGCACGAGAACAGAATCTCCCTTTAGTTTTGGGATATTAACATAAACTTTCTCCCCCGGTTTTGCAGAGTTTGGGTTAAAGGTCAGAACATGCCTGGTCCTACTACCAGTAATTTCCGTCCTATTCATACGTCGAAAGTTGGGCATAAGTTCAGTTGTTCGGTCCATTATGTTTTATTATAGTAGAATTTATTTTTTCCGTCTACTTTGTAAGTACTTGTATATAGCTCCGGCAATTAGGATTGCTACAATCCACAGGTTTTTGGCAAGGAAGGCAAGACCTTTAGCTCCCCAGCTTAGGATCGTACTTAGCAAATTTAGGATGGGTACTAGGATTGGTAGTGCAGATTTTGCAAGTCCAGCCAATGCTTTTCCTACGGCTCCTAGTCCTTTGGATGCTCCAACGATGGTCTTTTTACCAGCCACCACGACAGTGGTGATGATTCCAACGATAGAAATAGCAATGGCGGCTAATGCACCTAGGTTTTCCTTTGCCCATTTGGGAATTTTCCAAATTTTGTTCGGATGTCTTCCCTTGCTTTTTCCCTAAACCGTGTTTTCCCTCCTTCGTTTCGGGTTGCCGACCCATTTCTAATTTAGCGTTGTCAATACCCCGGCCGGCAAGATCTTTACCTTCTTGCATGACTTGTCGTCTTTCTGGATCTGTTTCAGTTTCTAGTTTTTCCTCCAGTCTTTTACTTTCTATTTTTAGGTATTTAATATTTTCTTTGGAGTACCCTTAGCGACGGGTATTCCCGCAAGATCCCTGGTTTCCTGTACGGTTAGTTTTCCTCCTCTTGCTTGCAATCTTAGTACACGTTCTGTAAAGGTATTACCTGCAGTGGTATCTTCCTGATGTAGTTCTTCCCTAGCATCCTCAAAAATTTCTTCTGCGTTTGCTCTTGATGCTTCTCCTACGGTTTCCTCTTCGACTACACTTCTAGCTCTTCTCCTGTGTTCTTCGAGTGCTTTTTCGTATAGACTAAGGAATCTTTCTAATGATACAGTATTTTTCTTATTTTTAGACATTTTGTAGTTTACCACCCGTATCAATGAATGCAACATCGACCCCGTTGAATGTTAGCTTATGTTTGGTGATGTCTAAACTGGAGATAAGTTCGTTAGAGTTTTGTCCGTCGGCCAGATCTATTCGGTATTCAGTTCGGAAAAGCCTTCAGACATTATCAAATTTTCCGTATGTGTACAGTTTGTCTGTTTGCCGTTCCTTCCAACTGTAGGAGTTGTCCTTATTCTCCTCACGGTAGCTATATAGAGGTTTTTGCATCGTCTAGTCCGTCGGTAGTTTGGCTGAGGGGACCTGCGAAATCGTCTTCATCGACGGGAGTATCGCTGATGATACACCTTCATCATCACCCTCATCACCTCCTTCAGCTCCTTCCGGTTGGTTAAGGTTGTCCTGCTTTATGGTGTCCATTTTTATTTAAGTCTAAAGATAATTCTTGTTCGTAATGCCTTCCCAAAATGTCCTCCCCATTCTCTGGATCCTTAAGGCTTTACATGTTCGGATCTCCCTGGAACACCGCTGTAACGACGTATACTTCGTTGTCAAAATTGGGTTCGTATCCCTTTTCAAAGGTTTTATGTACTCACTTCAGTGCTATATACAGGTCAGGGAGTTCGCGCAGAAATCTCCCGCTAAAATATTCGTAAACAGCGCGAAAGTGTGGATTTAAAAAATTCTATTTTTCTGGGAAAATTTGATAAATCATGCTGTGTTTACGAAGAATTAGTACACAGAGAAGAACATTTTGTTCTAAAACCTTTATTAAACAACCATCAAAGATAATTTGTGGTGGATTTTTGTTTCAAACCAATCATTTGCTTTGGCGCATGAGAACTATGAAGCCAATGCAGGGCAGAATGAGGGCAGTCCGATTTTGGTCATTCATGGTATGCTGGGGTGGAAAAAAAACTGGCATACATTTTGTAAATCTTACAGTGAACATACTGGGAAACAGGTATGTATGACACTTCTGGTCTGATAGAGAAAATTATACCCAGTTTCAATAAAGTTAGTTTCAAACTTGAACAGAGCGGCTCTATTAAAAGTGAGGGGCACACTTAGCGCCTGCCGAAGGCAGGTGACATTCTGGGGAGGCTCGGAGTCTAGAGTCTCTGAAATGCCATTTCCTGCACTTTAGAAAGATATTTATAACGTGATCCCCGATCTTAAATTTGGGATTTGAAAAACTGCTTAGTCTGTATCCATAAATCCTTGTCCAAATTTCGTTCTTTAGCTTATTTCCTCGTTCACATCCACCGCCTTCATCCCTATTGTACTGTGTGTGGTATTATTATAAGATCTGACAAGGTTAGGTAGAACGTCCACCCAAACTTTCGTCCTGTTTTCCGTAAAGTATTTCCACATCCTTGTTTTTAGGGTTCTATTGAATCTCTCGACAAGTGCGGCTTTCCGGAAGGTTCTTGTGGAAAAGTAGTGGACATCATGATCCTTCAGCAACGTTTTTACTCCTACATTATAAAATTCCTTTCCATCGTCGTATTGTGACGTTTTAGGATACCTACCGAACCTCTCCTTAAATTGCATGAGAATATTTTCAACAGCCTTTGTCATGCTTTCAGTATTTTTCATCCATACGGGAACGGCAAAGGCGTACCGACTCAGAACCTCTATGACAGTTAGGATCCAACGGTTTCCCTTATTCTTACGGCTGAATTTACTCATATCCACAAGATCCATTTGGATCTGTTGTGCAAGCCCGTCCACATAGGTTCTTTGGGTTTTGTAATGTTTTCGGGATGGTTTGTGAATGATGTAGGTATTTTGTGTTTGTAACCATTCCTTAACATTCTTCCGACTAACTCCCTTTATACCTTCCTCCTTTGCACTTTGGTATAATTTTTCCATCGACATGTACCCCAATTTTGCCATCGACATGTACCCGCAGCGACATCCAGTGTCAGACTCATTTTATTACCTGTAAATAAAACATGAAGAAGATAACGGTCTACACTGAGGGTGGAGGGGTTACCCTGGATTTACAGGATCCACTGATCCTTTCCCATGGATCTGAACTTTACGTGAAGACTGCCGCTGTGTTTTGGAATTATAAGAACATCCGCAAGGGTTACAATGACTACATCTCCGTGGATGGTAAGAAGGTTACGATAGATGAAGGGTACTGGACGTTTAAACAGCTTAGGAAAGAGTTGGAGGAAATGGGTAGAGGGGTGGGGGCACAGGCCAAAACCCGATGGAGTATTACGGGTCAGAGTGCAAAGAGCCTGCAGACACAGGAGGTTTTTCGAAAAGTAGCAAGGGATACAGTTGTTCAGGATGATGTGACAGTTTACCATCTCCAACATGAGAACAGCTATCGCAAGCACGCATGTTGTCCTAAATTTCGCTATCATGCCGGGTCTAATCCTAATTCCCTCAGACTTAAGGATTTTAACAAAACCTATTCCAGGATTTAGCAATGTTCTAACGGTAGCTAAGAATGGGATGATGTTTGGGAAAAACGAGAAGGTAAATTATACTAGTAATCCTGTTCCTACCCCCACGAATAATATAGACGAAAGCCATGACATTACACCAGCCCCAACCGTGGAGGACTTTAAACCCCCAGAACTAAGGCAGAAGTCTGATACTCAAAATATTGCTCTTGGCACAGCGGCAGTCGCATCCTTCGGGCTTGCATACCTGGTATTCCGGCGTTAAATAAAAATGAGCTTCTTATTCGGGTATGATTACTTTGGTACAACAACGGAAGACCTGAACACCTTGAAACAGAAGTTGACAACAGTCGAAAAGGCACAGCAGGGGAACACGGCAGAAGCTGCTAAACATGCGAACGACATCGTAAGGTTGAATAGCCTTGGAAAAAATTCAGTACAGTACGACTTTACCCAGATACCCAGATATTCACCCCGATTGCTGCAAACTCCCATCATTTCCGATGTGGACAGGAAGAACGCAAGGTTCATCGGGTTTAGTGTCAGTGATGGAAAAAATACGGCAACATATCCTCCACCCTGTACGGATTTCGCGACGATGCTATGGGAATGGTCATTATATTTACGCGCGATCAGAGCAGCAGAATATCAGGTTTCGTTCACATTCTTTATCGTCCTGAATTCAGGAAATATAAATGTACAAATTTTTGGCTTGGAATCCAAGGACGTAGACTCTGCTGGAAATGTAACCATCAGAACAAGGACTACAAACGTAAATTGCTTCCTCTTGACAACATAAGATTTTCTTAAATCTTTCTGTAAGATTTAAAATATTCGTGTTAATCCATAGTCACCACCAACACCCAGGATACCCCAGGATACCCATTGTCAACACTGCATATTTTTTCATTTCGTCTGACGGTTGATAGTAATCCTCCAATTTTGGTCTGCGTTGGGATGCTGTACTATCCATAAGCCTCGTATAATCCATCAGGTCTTCCGATGCCCTGTTTGTTTCCTCAATATCCTTGTTAGCATCCAAGATCTCGGCCCGATGTCTTGCCTCGTCATTCCTACGCTTCACCTCGGATTCATAAAACTTCTCCTTAGCTTTCGCAAGCTTCTCCAAGGCTTGGTTATGTCTTTTCACCTCTTCTTTTTATCCCCAGCAAAAGCCACAGCATTAAAGAGTCCTCCAACCACAACAGATGTCATTCTTTATTTGTCAATTACTTTTGGGATATACCCTTTATCCTTCAGGTACCCAATGGCAAATGCACTTCCTGCCACAGCAACAGCAAGCTTTGCCGCTCCTTCCATAGTCATCGGTGCACCAGGGCTTTTTCCAGCAACCGTTTTGGCAAGGTAGGATACCCCAACAATTCCGGTTGTTAATAGCGCAGCATCGTACAGTTCGTTGATGACTTCCTTCTTCGTGTCGGTCATTATGTTTTTATTATAGTAAAACTATTTCTCCTTTAGCTTCTTTTCCAGGATTAGAGAGAATCTCCTGTCTTCACTCGCCTTGCGTTCGGTTTCAATCTTCTTGCGTTTGGCTTTTTCGGTTGTTACGACGAAGGTCAGTATATCCCAACCTCGTTCCCAGGGTCTTTAGGAAAGACCCTGGTATCGGCTGGTCACGTGCCTCGTCCAAAATAGATTGCCCGAGGGGGGTTTGGTGAAAGTATCAAATTACAAACAGTTAAAAACATACATTTTGCGAACTATTATACCAGTAAGTTCAAAATACTTGCTAATTTTTGTTTATTTTATTTGCTTTGAATTTACAAGAACATTCTTACATTTTTACCAACAGTCAAGTCAAGAAACCAAGCAAATCGTTACTCGCAGTGTTCTCTCGTGTTATTATTATTCAATGCTCTCTTCACACTCGAGCGCGGTTTTATAACAAACGTTTATGGGCTTTTCAGTAGTCACCATTTCTACATATGTTATGTTTTTAAAACACGCATTAGATTTGTCCTTTTTTGTAAACGTTGCTATGCTTTGCACGTCTTGTTTATAAGATTTTTAAAAGAAACAGTATTGTATTGTATTGTATTGTCTTGGACTAGAGAGAGCCCAATATCAGCAAATGTAAACATTTGATACTAGCCAAACAGAGAAATGTCTGTCAGTGATTTATCTTTAAAATTTTGGATTTAGTACATAATTCGTATTCATTAATTATAGTAAGGCTTTAGCCTTTTTCTTGGTCAGATATTATTTTCCTACTATGCACGCAACTAGGCTATAAATTATCTACATCACAAATTTACAGTGTCAGTACAGTGTCAGACGCGCAGACTGCCATACGAATACACATAAATTTTCGAGTTTTCTACTTCTACTAAGGAAGGCTACTAACAGTTTTCATTGTGTCTCAATCTGTTTATTTCTAGTTCAATAAGTTCATTTATATTTCTATATTTATTTGATAGTGGCATATATAGTGATACATGTAGGGTATTTACACACAAGCAATCCTAGATATGATAGAGACGATACAAAGTGTCCATTAAAAAATAACGGTATTCTATTTCACAAAGCAAAAAATTAAATCTCACTTGTTTTATTAAGAATATATATAAAGCAGAGAATTAAAGCTTGTGTAAAAACGAAAGCTGTTTATAAAATTTATAAATGTGGTATAAACACAATAGTAAACAGTAAGACAAATATATTGTCGTTTGACTTATCTTTGATGTATGATTTTACTGTAATACCGTAGATTTTCAACAGACAGCTAGACTTTGACATATATACCATGATCGTTGAGATCTTGCAGGAAATTTTATAGTCTTTTGACGGGATTTAAGTTTGGTGATAAGGCCTTTATAATCAACAATCTCGATACAGTTGGCGTCTTGGCCGTTTGGCGATATTTCGGAAATCAAAAGATCTCGCTATTTCGTTCCAATTCCACATCTCATCAATAAATATATTCTTTTGGTTCGAGTATCAGGATATACTTTAATACTAACAGTGAAATAAATATAAACCACATTGGTCGGTCTAGAGATACGAATTTTCTTGTAGGCTTTAAATTAATATTGCCACGCCGCCCAGGCGTGCTTTCTTTGCCAAGTCTATAAGTTGAAATCTGATCCAACTTGCTTGAATTGTAACTCGACAGTTTAATTGCAGTTCTCTTCACGATTTCTTGTTGCAAATTTAAATTTCATCACACAAAATTGCAAATATTGTTACAAGCGCGACAAACACGCTCCTCTCCCACCCTGCCCATAGTATCATTTTAATTTATCACCCAGAATCTGGGTGACACGTGACCAGCCGAAACCAGGGTCTTTCCTTCGCCTCGCGCCGTTCTAAGAAAGACCCTGGGAACGAGGTTGAGAAAGGCTTTTACAAAATTGTACATCCCAAAAGTCATGGATTATTTTGTCCTGTAAGTGTGCATGTAGTGTATTATTAATTAGAGTCCAGAGGAACAGGTGTATTTCACTATAAGCACTATCGTGCAACAGATGATGGTCAACCTGCATTATCAACCTGCAATTTTCTAGCGCATAAACATCCAAGCCTTAATAGTATAAATAAAGTAAAATAGTTGAATGCTTCTCGACGTTTCGAGCGAAACTAAAGGCCATTATGTTGTAGCCATAGTCAGCTAGATCAATAAAAAATGCCTTGTACAATGCCCTGGCAGCCCAGAAAGTATTTGCTTATTAACAAACCAAATTTGTCGAATAATTATACCGCAAATATATAAAATAGAATAATCCCCAGCAAAATGATTGCCTAAAACCCGGGCTTTTCCAATCCGCGTGTACATTTTTACATGACGCACGGCAAAACGGTGTTACGACGCTTTAAAGACAGACGCGTCGCTGGCTCATTTACAGATTTTTTTGTAAAAAAGCACTCAACTTTAAGACCAAAGTGGCGGAGTTTTTTTTAACATTTTAAAGAAAGATCTACGACAAGAATTAGCGCAATAATAAAAAGATTTTTAACCCGAGTGTACTTTTTGAGAATGTCATATATAAAGCGAGAAATGATAAATTTAAGGGGGTAAACCCATGTTTTTTGATTGCGCGTTTGTATTACGCGATGCCAGCTTGACCTAATACATCTGACCTAATGGCATTACATGTTTTGCTATGCGATTTCTCGACAACGAAAAAACCCCGGGAAAAAACAGAAAATTAGGGATTTAAGACACTTGGCCCTACAGGCTAGTGTAATGAAATAAAACTATGGTTGTACTGCAATTAAAAGTTTCAAATATAGGTTCAGTCAAATGCAGGGATTGAATTCTTCATGTGGAATACTTGTTGAAGTATACGATCCCATTGGGGCAGGAGGGTCGCTAACTTCAATTTATAAGATTAATGCAATAAAATCTAAACTTACAGTATGCCTTTCCAACACCGTTCTTGCTGCCATGCTAGTGCCTGTAAAGTACGTCACTTTAAACTCATCGGAATCTCTTTCAATTTAGAAAGAAGTGCGTACGTGCCACGAGTGAAAGATCCTGGAATGTCCGTGCCATTTGGTCTAGGTGGAATCCCTTTAGTGGAAGAAAGAATGTCAAAAGCACGTACAGCATTTCCAGCTTCTAGAGCAACACATGTTACAAAATTAAATATGATTTACATTATAATTTTTTGATTCAGAAAAATAGTTCTTTGGCTTTGCATCTATCTAGTCGCAATTTAAATAAAATATGGTAAATTTACTCGATTGAGTTTTGGTAATTTGATTTGGTAATTATGCGTAATGATCACATGTTGCGCAATCAGCCGTGCAGAATTTTCAGCAATTACTTTTTAAATTGTAGTTACGGCTTACATTAATTAACTTCTAGAAATATTTATGCAATGACCTCTTGCCTTATGCAATTTCCCTTCTTGTATGGTTGCATATTCTTCTATATTACACTCCCTATGTTGCGCAACATGCGCAATATATAATTTAATTTATAAGTTCCACCCCTTGTCAGGGACCTTATCCCACACAGCGACCCCTCTGATGCATTTAAGGCAAATTCTAACTGTAAGGAGGCAAAATACTTTACATCAATAATTAGACATACTCGTTACTCAGCCCAAATGTCAAGTTTAATTACTTCCAGTAATAAAGTGATAAAATGTCATAGTACCCACCCAAGCCTAGTTTCTATTTTGATGTTACTGTCCTAAACTTGTCAAGGTAGGAAATATGATAGAGTGTTGATATTTTGAGGGAGAGGGTATTAATTCCCTCCGGCTGTTTACACCAGAGGAAAGGAATGCTAAAGGCTGATTTCCACTGTTTCGTTTTTCGTACGCACGTACACGCACGTAAAACTTTGAATCCTATTTTTTAAATATTTTACAAATAAGTTAACAAATGCATACTAAAACATGCGGAACACTAAATTCTGTTGCTTTATTCATTTGGTTATTTCATATATAACATTTAAACGGATTTAAAGTTTTACGTGCGTATACGTACGTATGAAAAACGCAGCAGTGGAAATCAGCCTTAAGCGAGATCCGCGCGACTTTGTTCTTTCATTTCGTTCGCAAGAGAGCGAGTTACATAGGGGTCTGGAGACTAGCTCGTGATTGGATAAAATAAAAATTTTGTTTTTGAAGAATAATTGTCATTCAAAATGTTTTGAGTTTGACGTTTTGTATTTTCAAACGAGATTTCAAAAATGTTGAGTGATTAAAGCGCCCTGGATCTTGCTATAGTGCTTTTCTTTCCCCGGGTGCAAATAGCCGGACGGAATTAGTACCCTTGCCTGGCGATGCGCGCGAGGTTCGGGGATAAAAACTTTCTCAAGAGATCATTCAGCTTAATTTGTTGTTTTGTTGACTTACCATCAAATACATACAAAATTCCAGGCAGACAAAATCGCTGGCTCTGAACTCGCTATTGTTAACATTTTGCATGGGTAATTTTATCCGACCGGGAACATTAGTATCCTCGTCACCCCCACGCGCTTTGCGCGAGGATCGGGAATTATGTTGATGTCTATTCAGATTTAATCTTGCATTAAAAACTTAGAGAGCCCAAGAAAAGTGAAAAGTTGCAGAAGATAATATTCTGTTGCTTGATGTTGGAATAAAATATAGAAATTCTTTATGGCAATTATTGTTTGCTTAATGTAGTGTTCCTTCAGCTGTTTTGTGCTCCCGTGGGTGGGGAATTTACCACTTACCTATTTGCCCGGGAATAGGACATTTGCCCAATAATCATTGCCCTGTGGTCGGGAATTTGTCCTTACGTTGCAAAATTATGCAAATGCCCGGGTATACATAAGTAAAGTCGGCATGTTATTACTTACATAAGAATCATATAGTTATAGTCACAGACAGGCCCATTGGTTGCATGTAAGCACATGGAGACGAAGCAATTTCTTTGCAATTGTTACTGAAATCCAAAAATGGTTAATAATTTATTACTTGCATGGTTGTAATGACATCGGACTAATGCAACTTTTGTGAAAAGAGTTAGTCAACGCTCTATCGAAACGGTATGGTAATTGAATTGATTGCAATATAACTATTTAGTGCAGATCACACATTAGATACTTAATTAAAGCAATATATTACGTAAACATTTATTATATAAATATATTAAATTTCGTAGAAACTCTAATTAAAGGTGACAGGTAAAGTATTTTTTCTAGGTCGAGGTAATTCTCCAAAGATATCTCTTGAATCATGAACACTTCTTGCTAATGCTTGAATTGATTCTGCAATTTTATCTGGTGATGGCATTTCTTCCTGCGAAAATTAAAGAATAAATTTCAATTACAGATTTAAAAAATTAAAACTGAATAAATATTTAAGAATTTTTCATGATTTGACGTGCTCAATTCAGTTATTGAGGCTCGACCAACTCTTGCGGTTTTTCGTGATCTCCCAACTTCCCAAGTTCTCAATAACTCGATTGAGCAAGCCAAAGCATGGAAAAAGTATTTTTATAATAACTAATGTGCTTTATCAAAAATAAATCGTATAATTTTTATATTTTTCTTCCCGATACATTTTCAAATTCCCCTGATGCAACAGGGTTGGTGCAGGTTCCCAAGAAAAAGATTAAAAGCCATTTCAAAGATTATTCAATGTCTAAACTGAAGTTTTCCAAATACTTTTTAATGCCTTACAAACAGAATAAAAGTCGCTTAGTTTACTGAGATTCCCAAGAAAAAAATTAAAAGCCATTTCAAGGATTATTCAATGTCTAAACTGAAGTTTTCCAAATACTTTTTAATGCCTTACAAACAGAATAAAAGTCGCTTAGTTTACTGAGATTCCCAAGAAAAAAATTAAAAGCCATTTCAAAGATTATTTAATGTCTAAACTGAAGTTTTCCAAAGACTTTTTAATGCCTTACAAACAGAATAAAAGTAGCTTAGTTACTGAGGTTCACAAGAAAAAGATTAAAAGCCATTTCAAGGACTATTCAATGTCTAAACTGACTGAAATTTTCCACATTTTTCAAAATGTCTTACAAGCAGAATAAAAGTCGCTTAGTTTATTGATCTTCCCATCACTGTGGCTGTCAACACATGGACAGACAGCTTTGAACTTCCTTAGCTTTCCCTAAAATTCCGCTACAAAAATCGGGTACGCTTCCTCTAACTTTTCCTCTTTTCAAAGTCTTTTAACATATTTTCTATTTTCAAGGGCTTTTCAAGTGCTCTTGAAATTGATTTCTCAATTGAAGCACTTTTCAAGGTCTTTTAACATATTTTCTATTTTCAAGGGCTTTTCAAGTGCTCTTGAAATTGATCCCAACATTGAAGCACTTTTCAAGGAGTTCAAGGACCTGCACGAATCCTGTGCAATCAAAATACTTTAAAACGTTTCTGACTGGTCGCGAGAAAATCTGCTGATCGGACATAACTACACTGGCTTGGCACGGCAATGAAATGCAAGAGAGGCTTCAAAATCTCAAAATAATCGAAATTTTATTGACATTTCCATAATTCCAGGCTTTGCCTTTATTGGTAAAAAAAGTAGCAGACAATTAAGGGTATTTATTTTGAAATTATTTCAATATTTGTCGTGTTTTAGCCTCCTCCTCAGGCATCGCCTTTCGATTATCGGGCAAAATTTCTTGCAGGCAAAAAAATTAATAGCGGCGATGCCTGCCAAAACCCGAAGACTTTGGACGGCCAGCTATGTAACCCTTGTGGACCGACTATGTTACCCCCACGGGATTAATTTGTTCATATCAAAACTACTACAAAATGTCAATACGACTTTTTATATTCAGACACAATTCGAAAAAAAAAATCGATCGAGAATATCATTTTCATGTTGCAAATTGTTACAAATATGAATGAAACATTGATTATTTTGCACTTACAACGGATGGGCAGGAATTTAACGAAATCCAAATGGTCAAATCACGCCAAAACTATGTAAATCGTCTCGATCGAGGGACGAAGTGTGAAATGTGAATGGAATTTATATAAAGAACATCACTAACTTCCCGGCGAAGGCCTTCGTTCGAATCGTGGAAAGTAAGCTTGTATTTTTCAGGTAGTTGAATTCTTCTATCAATCCACAGCTTTCTTATTGGACAGGTTCAGATTCAACTTCCACTACCACTACCGATACCTTTGACGGCTCCATTGGTAGCGGTCGCGACAGACTGTTTAGACCTGTTCAGATTAGACTTCTCCCGACGACCATAAATCGCTTTGTTACGGTCCCAAAACAAAAACATGCGACGATTTCCTCACGCTCTTGCATGCGTAACACATTTAAGGTAGCGGTACTGGTAGTGAAGTCAAATCTGAACCTGTCTATTATCGTCAACACTGGGATAGACCGTTTGAACTTTGAAAACTTCTATTAAGTTTCTATGTCATTGAAATATGCGAGTAATGATGTATTTCGCACGTCATGCAGCGAGTTACCACGAATTTGCTCTTCATAGTTTTCTTATATGGATACTACTGTATGTATAGGTAATAGTATGGTTTGGAGGGCAATTCCGAAAACGGACACTCATGAGTATTTTATATTTGAATTTCGATCCTCTTTGAAGAACTCACTCGTGCATGTTTTCTCCAAATTACACTTGAAACCATACTATTACCCATACAAAACCAGAATTTCTTTACTAGTGACTGACCGAAAATTGATATAATATGTTCATGAAAGAACTTACGCATTCGTCATCATGTTGTAATCTTCCTCGCAACTCGACTCTAGATCTGTTCATTAACGGAACATTGACAGGAACAGATGAAGAATATCTTGTCTTCGTTGACGATCTCTCGTATTCCATATCCGTCTGATTAAAACTGTTATCTATACAAAATGAACACATTGAATTCATTGGTTAATAATATTTTAGGAAAGATGGTTTACTGTATATGTGTATAAGAAATATATTCCATATATGTCTGATCAAAACTGTTATCTAAACAAAATGGACACATTGAACTCATTGGATTGTAATATTTTAGGAAAGATGGTTTACTGTAGGTATAAGAAATATATTCCATATATACAGTATATCTAAACAAAATGAACACATTGAACTCATTGACTTATAATATTTTAGGAGAGATGGGTTACTATAGGTATAAGAAATATACTCCAAATATGTCTGATCAAAACTGTTATCTAAACAAAATGAACACTTTGAACACATTGATTTATAATATTTTAGGAAAGATGGTTTACTATAGGTATAAGAAATATACTCCATATATGTCTGATCAAAACTGTTATGTAAACAAAATGAACACATTGAATTCATTGACTTATAATATTTTAGGAGAGATGCATGGGTTACTATAGGTATAAGATAGTGGCTGGTTCGATATGACGTCGATAGTCAGCGATGCATTCGTCGATCATTGTTAGCTAGTGATCATTAAAGAAAATGATTTCAGGAAAAATGGCATTTTACTTCTCAATTGATCCAAGACAACATAGTAATGCATGGAACCATCGCCCACCATCAACGACATTGAATAAACTGTTACGTTCGCGGGTGAGAACGAACAAAAATGTATGTCTGCATCTTCATCATCTTTACGCTCGTTGCCCTCCTTGACCAGACACAGCGACACGCGCTGGCCAAGGAGCCTTTCTCGTATTTGGAATATGCTTCCTCTAAGTCTTATGAACTTTGCGACGACAATAAATTCAACAATATCAATTTCTTCTTCTTGAACAACAACTGACATTACAACAAATTACTATTTCTAAACTTTTCTGATCCTTTTTCTTTCTATATTCCTTTTCCTAATCCTTTTCCTAGCTTAAGCTTTCGCTGCTTTTATACTGTCCGCAAGTTATTTATAGAACATTACATATATACTA